TAGCCTGTAGAACTCAGTTTAGGTGCTTAGTTCACCTTCCAGGTAGTGGTTCACAGATTTTTTTGCATGGTCTACCAGTGTTTTTAGTGTGCTTCTTGTTTTGTCCTGGGTGATTACTGGAGTTCTTCTTTAGATATCTGTCAATGTGTATAGGTTTTCTGTATACTGTGTTGCCCAATCATTGATTCAGTTTGTGGATGACCAGATCATTCAGGCTAATGGTTACTCCAGCACAGATATCCAAAAAGTGGCCAGATCCAGAAAAAATGACAGGAGTGAAGAAAAACAACCACCCAAAGGGAAGGTATTTTTTTTTACCATACATCAAAGGAGTTGCAGACAGAATAGGGAAACCGATGAGGAAATTCAACCTCCAAATGGTCTACAAACTGACCAAGAAAATCTAGGAAGTGCTGCATTTAGCAAAAGACAGGAGAGCCCCTCTCACAGCTGCAGGAGTTTACCATATACCATGCAGCTGTGGACAAGTCTACATAGGGACCATAAAACACAGTGTTCCAACACAAATCAAGGAACATGAGAGACACTGCAGACTGGGCCAGCCAGGAAAATCAGCAGTAGCAGAACACATTATAAACCAACCTGGACATAAAATGCTATTTGAAAACACTGAAATTCTGAACTATACCAAAAACTATCAGGACCATACCAAAAACTATCACTGAAATGCGCAAACACCTCGGCAACTTCAACAGGAAAGAAGAAACCCTGAAAGTAATCAAAGTTTGGCTAGTGGTCCTGAAAAACACCAAAATCAAGATTCAGGTCATGCAAATGAACTTCACCCAGGGTCAAAGGATTTCCCAGCAGACAATGGATCACTAATTAAAAAGACACTAATCATTCTTGCATATCCTCCCACCCTGAGGCCTTGCCATTCAAAAACAGAACAATATACAGATTAACATGCAAATCACATCCTCTCAACCAATTGTCACACAGTATATACCCCACTCACTTCCATGCCATCATTCTCTGAAGATGCCAGCAACAGATGCAGGTGAAATGTCAAAAAGAAATTCTTCTAGAACATGGCCTCACAGCCCAAAAAGCCCACAAAAAACATGGATGCTGGCTGTGAAAGCCTTCAACTTCACAATGGGAGAGAATTTTTCAGCGACAACAACAGTGGCACACCAGCTAATACTCGTTAATACTGTGCAAAAGGACACACATTAAACCCATTATGAATGTATTTTACAATGAAAATCCTATGATGATACAAACCAAAATGAAACAAGCTACAGTGCCAGAAAATGGCACCCCCAGGTTTGGAAGCTACTGGGTTACAGCACAGGATAACTATGCGTAGCTCTGTGGCTAATGGAGCAACTGGACTTGAGCCAAAGGGATGTATAGCTATTGACATTCTCAGAGATGAAAGCTCATGAAGCACAACCTTGTACAGGAACATGGAATGTGAGAAGAATCTGGGGAAGTTAGACATAGTAAAAAAAGAAATGGAATGCACAAACATCACTATATTTCAGGTGAGCAAGCTAAAGTGACAGGAATTGGACATTTTGATTTAGTTAAAGACAGTTTTTCACCCAGGAAATGAAAATCCAAGAAGAAATGGAGTTGCATTAATAGAAATTCCAGATGATAAGTGTGCTGGAAACAATACAGGAAAAATGATTTAGCAGAGCATTTAGACTTGACATAATACAAAAGCTAGACCCAGAAAAATACAGTTTTAAATACTCACCAACACATGTAGGAAGGGAATCATTCCACTGAGCCAATGCATTAGGCACTGTGTCACATCTAATAGCTACTGATCCATGGAGTATGTATCCTGGATTACACTCAAAAAGAACCAGTGAACCAACTGCAAAATCATTTCCAATTCTTTTTCCAAATCGTGGTTCAGGAACTGAACTGCATTGTGTTGCACTTGTTCTTGGAACCGCTAATAACACAAAATAAATAGCATCTACTGAGTCATCATGCAAAAGAAATGTTTTAGCCTGCACATACATTTAAAATTCCTTTAAATGCCTCTTATCTCTTAAGAATATTGATGTAGTGCCAAATACATGTCTTTATTGGTATTCTATATAAGATGCTTCAGCTCTTAAAAATTAAAGTAAAACTTCATTTCTGATTAGATAACAGCTCTGTCACTCTGAGTTGTTTCTAAAATGACACAGGGCTTGTAGTGCTGCCTTCAATAAATACTGACTACAACTCAAACTGCTGCAGTGGATAATTTTTTTATAAATTTGCTATAGGTTTTTCAATATATAGTCAGCCTTCCATATCCACACATTCTTTATCAACAGATTTAACTACACACACACATTCCAAAAAGCAAACTTTGATTTTGCAATTGTATATAAAGGCACCATTTCACCATACCATTTATTTAATGGGACCTGAGCATCCATGGATTTTGGCATCCACGGAACATCCTGGAACCAACCTCCAGCAGATACCAAGGGCCTATTGTACATGCACTACAACTGTACAGCTGATATCTAAAGCATTAAACCACAGTAACAGATATTGATAAGCAAGGTTTTGTGTGTGCTCTTTGAAAAAGCAAATAATGTAAATGCAATAGGACATAAGACACATTATTGTAATAAAATTTAGTGTAATGTCAGTCTGTTTCTCACACACATGATTACCAGCCTAGATAGAACAGATCTAATTTTAATTAAAATAATAGAAATTATCTTTTTCTTGACCTTTTCTAAAAGTATTTCCCTCTCAATCCTTCAAATTTAAAATACCTGCAGTTTCCTGTTATGGATTTAGAAACGGTAGTGACTTTGTGAGTATCGTGTTATAAACTGCCACCTTGGGTGTAATTTACTTTCTTCTTTAGCAACTGAAGTAGGTAGAAAATGAAATATTTAGCTCATTTTACAGTTATAGTTCTGCTTGTCAATCACTTCTCTCTGTCTCTCTGTTTCTCTCTCTTTCTGTGTGTGTATGTGTGTGTATATCCAATGGACATATTAACATTAAGATGGTACTTTTCTTGTCTATATTTAAAACTTTACCAATATATTCTGTATTATATACAGCTTCACATTTAAAGAACAAAAACAAGAAAAGGACACTAAAAATAGGAGATAGCATGGGAGACAAGAGATTAGCATACAAAATGAAATGAAACATATTTGTGGCACTTGTGTCTCCATACCTTGATATACAAAGTGGAATCCTTTAGCTGTTACAGGCCCAACTGAAGTAAACCGGATGGTAATCTGGTTCCCTGAGCTCAATGGAAGAGATTCTCCTACTCAGGAAAAAAAAGGCATCTCAGAAACAGTTATGTACCAATAGCCCAGCAATACTGTTTGTAACGCAAAATTAATCAAATTTATGTCACAATAAATATTTGGTGTCCTCAAAGTAGGAGACAAAATAAATGAAATAAAATGAAATACAGAAGTGAGACTGTTGTGTTTTTGCTATAATCATGTACAAAGCTAGTTACCTAATGTAATAATTATTGTATCATTATAAAACAATTGTATGTGCTTCCCAGATTAATTCAGTGTAGTAAGGATCTCTCTTCCCTTGTGTAATAAGGACCAGTGTTATTTGCTTATACTGGATTCTTTAAATATCTAATCCTACATTTTGTTAGGGTCCTAAAAATAACCAAAATGTCAACAATCAGATGAGGACCAAATTACTAATCAGATAGAATGTATAGGCTGCAGGCAGATTTTTCCTTTAAGTAATTATAAGCAAAATGGGCCATGTTGAGAAGTGCATGCTAAGTGATTTTGCATTTGAACCAATCTTCCCCACATTTAAAACCAACAATTATCCACTAGAACAGATAGCATATATCTTTATTAAAGAAATAATGAATGCACAATAGCTATGTTATGACATACCTGAATGAGATCCTGACAGAGAAGATAGTAAAGATGACTGTTGAGTTGGGCCATCATATACCTCAACCACATCATGCAGTGATGTCTGGAAAAATACAAACTGTCCAAAAACCACTAAAGGAAGAGGGAAAAAAGAACATGAAAGGATGGAGGAAAATATGAAACAATTAAACCTCTCTTCATGTATTCTCCATTCTTCTTCCATGTGTACAGCTAAATTATACTAAGGTATAGTTTTCATATAATAAACAGCTTATTAAACAATTATTTCACTTCTAAAGATGAATACCATTATCTTCATGTTCTGGGGGAGGCATCAGTCAAGTGAATTAAATATATACTGGAAAGGCATCATTGAAATTGGTCACTGGAAACCTACAATAAGGATGTCATCCTATTACCACTGCTTCTACTGCCACCAGACACTATTAAACCAAGATACATTTTGAGTATGTATTTCAGCTAGTGTGACACCAGTATTTGATAAAAATAAGAGGCAGATGTGAACAAAGGGTAGACAACATAGCCTTTCTTAGGAATTTAAATTCTCTTAATTTTAATCAGATACAAAAGTATTTCATTATTACTGATTAAGCTATTGGACATTTAATTAACTTCAGAGTGATTAATGTTTTCATCAAGACTGACTTTGGGTCTTAAATCAATTTTATCCTAGAGGTACATGATGGCTATGCATGATATCACACAGGAAGTAAAGAAAAGGAAGTAAAGAAAAATGATGTAGGATCAATGCAATCTGGCTTTATTAACCATTGCATTGCACTGGGATCTCATGTCTCTGCAATAGAGAATTGCAAAGGACTTTTGTTGTTGTTATTGTTTCCTACTTTTCTGGGGATAAAAGGTAACTGTGTGAAATTAGATACAAAGTAAATACAATAAAGAGAGTGGAGCTTTGTAACAGTGGAAAAGGAAAAAAATGTCAGCTGGCATTTTGATTCAAATCAAAAGTAAGTCTGTACAGACCTGAAAGAAAAGCTAGTGGTGGGGGGAACTCTGCTATGCAAGACCTCCCCAATTGTATAAAAGGCAAGATAAACTATTTATTCTCATATTTCTGATGTCAAGGCTAAGGCAAGGGTCTTCAGGAATAAGTGAGCCAGAGTGGTGTAGTGATTTGTGTATTGGACTATGACTCTTGAGCCCAGGGTTCAAATCACTGCTCGGGCATGGAAACCCACTGGGTGACCTCAGGCAAGTGACACTATGTTTGCCTCAGAGAGAGGCAAAGGTAACCCCTATGAACAAATTTTGCCAAGAAAACCCCATGATAGATTTGCCTTAGGGTCAACAGAAAGATTTTAAAAACATTAAAAACATCAAAATTAATCAAAGTACTATGCAAAACATAAAATAATTACACATCATTAAAAGCCCATCCCATTCACTTTCTAAAAGCCTGGTTCCACAAGAATGTTTTCAGTTGCCAACAGAAGGAGAGCAAGGAGAGAGCCATCCTGGCCTACCTGGGGAGGGAGTTGCAAAGACTAGGAACTGTCAGCAAGAAGCTCTCTCCTTTGTCTTCCCCAAACTAGTCTGAGAAGGTGGTGAGACAAAAATGAGGGCCTCTCCAGACAATATTAGAACTCGTAATGGATTCTAATGTTCATAAAGGGAGATATGGTCTTTCTAATAGCCTGGACCCAAGCCACATAGAACTGTGAAACAGTGATACAGGGCAAAAACACACTGCAGAAATTATCCAGTTTGAGACTGCTTTAACTGCCCTGACTCAGTGCTAGGGAAATCTGTAAATTGTAGTTTATTGTGGCACCAGAGCTCTCTGACAGAGAAGGCTAAATGTCCCACAAAATTACTGATCCCAGAATTCCATAGCATTGAACCAGAGCAGTTAAAGTGGGGCCAAACTGGATTATTTCTGCAGTGTGTTTTGGACCACAATTGTTAGGTCTGGAGTATGGTACAGGCTGCAGTTAGCTTTAAAAATGTGTAGGCTCATTTATCTTGTCAGAGAATGGGTCAAGGAAAATTCTCCCTTGCCATGAGATAGTATGGGGAGGAGAAGGGATGGCATTCCAGAGCCAAGAGATAAGACATTTCCAACAAATCCCTGTACCTGGAGATCGGATAAACAACTTGCTTGGTTGGCATGGGAAGTCCCAGACTCTGTAGGGACCATATGCTAAGCGTGTTGGAAAAGACAACAATATATAAGATGCTAGCACACTAAGGAATTTTTTCCTTGGAACCAATATGCACAGGACTGCCTGGCCATTGTGCATGTATGGGTTTGTCTTTGTTTATGTGAACCTGCTTGAGACTATGGATCTATGCTTTTTACTTTTCTCTACTTTCTTAAATAAAACAACCTTCTTGAGCCCAAGACTGAATGATAATTTCACCTGCTTCATACCCTCAAACCCACACCTGGCACCCAGAGTTGGGCTGTGACTGTTACAAGAATCTAGTTCAGGGGTAGGCAACCTTTCCCCTTTAAAGGCCGAGGGACTTCAGCTCCCAGAAGCCTCAGCCATGTTGGCCAATAGTCCCATGTTGGCCAATAGCTCCTTTGATTCTGGGAGCTGAAATCCCTCGGCCCTTAAAGGGGAAAGGTTGCCTACCCCTGATCTAGTTGGTCTGCATGCATTTATTTCTAGTGATTTTCTTATTCCATTACTGATATAATATGGTGGGTTGAGTATGTGAGAAAGAGAGTTGCAGCTTTAGATATTAAGAGCTTTTTTCCTATAGATAATTTTTTGCAGTAAACTTTACTTTTCCTTCTTTCTTTATCTCTTTCTTCTTTCTTTTTTGCTTGAAATGTTATTTACCCCATTCTCCTTAAGGGGTAGACATGATAATCTATTACAACATAAATATCAAAAGTCTTATACTAGGATGATTGCAACACCAGAAAAACTTAACTAATGGACAATGTTAATAATGGCTATCTAAAATCTAATACAGAACTGCATGCATAGCACATATATCTATAATAGCACTTCAGGGTATAGAAAAAGGAGAGTACAGTCCATAAAATATCATGCTGTAAACACTGTTAATCTTCAAGATGTCACAAGACTCTTTGACCAATATTTAATACATATAATATGTATCTATTACATGTATATAATACAGCTTGTGTGGAAAGATAAAAAAAATTACTACAACAACCAATGCAGAGAAACAGAAGACAACAATAAAAAGGGAAGCACAAGAGATCTATTTCACAAGATCTGAGAAATCAAAGGAAACTTCAAATCAAGGACTGGGACACTCTAGGACAGGGGTTGGCAAGATTTACAGACCTGGGGCCGGCCCGCTGGTCTTGGGGTCTTCTTGTGGGCTGCCAAAATGGTGACCGCTACTTGTTTGCACATGCACAGTATTCACACATGCGCAAACAAGTCACGGCCACCATTTTGGCAAACAAAATGGTGGCCGTGACACGTGCGGTGGTGGGGTCAGGGGTCAGCGGGAGCCGGTCCAGAGGCCTTGGGGGGGTGCACCCAGCCCCCGGGCCATAGGTTGCTGACCCCTGCTCTAGGACAATAAAAAATAGCATAATTCAAGACCAGTAAAGAATAAAAAAACACTGGATGCAATACAAAGAAGAATTATACAAAAGAGATGATAAAATGAGAGACACATGGAACAATGAACCTCAAATTCTAAAAAGTGAAGTCGAAACTGCAACAAGAGGAATAGCGAAAAACAAATCACCAGGGACACATGCTATTCCAATTGAACTGCTGCAATCCACATTGACAGAGTCAACTCTAGTGCTAACCAACATATGCCAATAGATATGGAAAACAAAACAATGGCCAACAGATTGGAAACAATCAATTTACATCTCCATCCAAAAAAAAAGGAGATACAAAAGACTGTAGCAACTATGAGAGCATAGCATCTCCCATGCAGGCAAAATTATGCTCAAAATTCTGCAACATAGGCTCCAATCATACATGAAATGAGAAATCCCAGCGGGTCAAGCAGGGTTCAAGAAAGGCACTAGGGAACATAGAGTGTTGGGGGGAAGGACTGTGAATATACTAAGTGATGCATTCTGGGGTACTGGTATGTAAAATTTGTGGCCAAGTAAGTAACCCTGGGCATGTCACACACTCTCATCCTCAGAGGATAGTAATGGCAACCCCCATTTGAAGAAACATGCCAAGAAAACCCCATGATAAGGTTGCCTTAGGGTCACCATAAGTTGGAAAGGACTTGAAGATCCACAAGAACAACAAAAAAGTCTGCAATTGTTTCATAGGTAGTACATGGGAATAGGAGCCAGCATGGTGTAGTGGTTTGAGTGTTGGACTACAACTCTGGAGACCTGAGTTTGATTCCCCACTCTGCCATGAAACCCACTGGGTGAACTTGGATAAGTCACACACTCTCAGCCTCAGGGGAAGGCAATGGCAAACTTCCTCTGAGTGAATCTTGCCAAGAAAACCCCTTGATCACCATAAGTCAAGAACAATTTGAAGGCACACAACATACACATATAACCTCCAAGTAAGGAACTTGGTTATTCTTTAGATAAATCTTCAAGGGTACACTCTCTTTCTCTCTTTCATTGTGCAGAATTATTTGTTAAAGAAGCCATGCTCAAGCAACACAGCAACTTTGGCAGTGTCTCCATTGCAGAAATTTATTAAAGCAGTTTGACACCACTTTAATTGCCCTGATTCAAGACTATGAAATTCTGGGATTTGCAGTTTTGTGAGATATTTAGCC